TGTGGAATCCTCACTCCTGCCGCCTCGGGCTCCGGCGCCTCCGCCGGCCCGCTTCCTTGACGGTGAGCCCATCTACACCGTCCGGCGCATTCTGGATGCTCGCCGCCGGGGTCGGGGTTGGCAGTACCTTGTGGATTGGGCGGACTACGGCCCAGAGGAACGTTCCTGGGAGCCGGCCCGCTCCATCTTGGACCCTGGCCTCATCTCGGACTTCTGGGCTCACCGAGGTGGCCCGGGGACTTCTGGAGCCGTCCCTGGACCGGGGGGTCCTGTCAGAGTCCAAGCCCCCAGGCCGGGCTCTCCCAGCTGACCGGCTTCTGTCTCGGACCATTACCCAGCATGCCCCTCGCGGGGATTCCCTCCACGTTGCACCTGCGTCATCCATGTCTATATATGGAAGACGCCACACCGGCTCTTCACTCAGTCATCGTTCCACCGTGTTCCATGATCAGAGTATTCAGAAGCTAAGACAGTTAAACCTCCATCTTTCTAACTCAGACCTCATCCTTCCGTCAGCCTTTTCAGCACCGCTTGCAGCCAGCAGTCTCTAATAAAAGCTCTTACTCCCGAACCCAGTCTTCGAGTCTGACAGCGGCCTTTGACACCATTTCTCATCCCATCCTCCTTAATAGACTCTCTTCCTTAGGCATTACTCACACCCCCCTCCGCTGGTTTCAATCTTACCTTACTGGCCGCACTCAGTTCATCCAGTTAAAATCCTTTACCTCAGAACCCTCCCCAGTCAAGTCAGGTGTGCCCCAGGGCTCTGTCCTGGGGCCCCTCCTCTTCATAGTATATCTCCTCCCTATCGGCAAAATCTTCCGCAAATTCAATATCCAGTTTCACTGCTTTGCAGATAACACCCAGCTCTGCATTTCCAGTAAGCCCAACTCAACTCTCCCACCATCCTCCCTTACACTCTGCCTCTCTGAAATCAAATTATGGTTCACCTCTAATTTCCTCAAACTCAACGGCAATAAAACTGAACTTCTTCTTGTTGGCACTAACTCCACCCTCTCAACATCTGACAGCTTTTCTTTAACTATTGACAGCGCCATAGTCTCCCCCTCACCTCACGTCAAGAGTCTGGGTGTCATTCTCGACAGCTCACTTTCTTTTCAGGCTCACATTAATAACTTAATTCGGTCAGCATACTTCCATCTACGTTCCATAAACCGTCTTCGTCCCTCACTGACCCCTCACACTGCCGCCATTCTCGTCACCTCCCGTATCGACTATTGCAATTCACTTCTTTATGGTCTCCCCAACAAACTCCTTCATAAACTGCAACTGGTCCAGAATTCAGCAGCCCGTATTATCACCAGAACCCCTTCCTTTCACCACATCACGCCGGTTCTCCAGCAGCTTCACTGGCTCCCAGTTAAATTCAGGTCCATCTTCAAAATTCTCCTCCATACCTTCAAAGCAATCCACAACCTCTCTCCTCCATATATCTCAGACCTTATAAGTATTCACACCCCGTCCCGTTCACTCAGATCTTCTTCTTCCATCCATCTTGCGGTTCCTTCTGCCCGTCTCGCTACCATGGGGAGCAGAGCTTTCAGCCGCTCTGCTCCTCGACTCTGGAACTCACTTCCCCCAGACATCAGAAACGTCGACAGTTTTACCCTTTTCAAAACAAAACTCAAAACACATATGTTTAAATCTGCCTACAACCTCTGATTTTATTGAAATGTTTCTCTCTGTTTTTTCTTCTTTGGGTTTTATTGTATTTTATTACGTGTTTTGTGTAAAGTGACCTTGGGTGTCCTGAAAGGCGCTTTTAAATAAAATGTATTATTATTATTATAAATAGTGCTAGTATAAATGCACATTCAGATATCCAAAATAACACTACAGACAGCAGGAATAGGACTTTAATTTAACCTATCTGAAAAATGAGTTTTTACTAGTAGCTGAATTGTAGAATGTGAGTTTCTCCTAGGAAGAATTCAGTTTCTTCTATCCACAATGTTCATTCTTGACAGGAAGAATTTAATTGTCGATAGGAGGCACTAAAATCCAATACACATTAATAGGAATTGTGATGTAATTTGTCCTAGGAAGAATTACATTTCAGATATCTGAAATGTTCATTCTAGATAGTAGGAATGTTCTCATGGATATCTGGAATGTAAATTTCAACTAGGAACAATAGAGTTATAGATATCTGGATTACACATCTATGCTTACTAAATGTTACCTTAATTTTATAAGAATTTTGAGATATCTCAGTTTTAATTCCTACTACTGCAGTTGTTATTTTGGTTATCTTTAATTATAATTTCTACTAGTAACAAATAACTGTTGATGTCTGCATTTGCAATTTTGACTAAAAAAATGCAATTAGTACTAGGATAAATGACAATATTGCTATACAAAATAGGATTAATGAGAGGTCAGATTGTTGATTAAATATTAAAACAGCTTGCCATAAGCTCCAGCTCTAACGGAGAGACGCTCCTGTGGCGCTGCATTGCTCCAGTTTGCAGTCTCAGCTGATTTTGCTCAAAAAGCAAAACTTACAGTCCGTTGTTTCTTTCATTTTCGTTATAGTTGCCGGTGTTGTGCCAAAAAGCGACTGGCTGCCAAAAAATGATTAGCCACCGCGGGATCGCGCACGGTTAGGGTAATAGCATTTCTAGACGAAATTCCCCGGGATTTCGCCCTAAAACTCAGCATATCTAGCAATATGGACACTGAGAAAGCAGAGATCACCTCGTCCGGTCCTACCCGTAGAAGAATTTTACGTTGTTTTTTTTTTTTTTTTTTTTTTTTTTTTTTTTTTTAACGTGTCCTGTCTGGCTGTGAAGCAAGCAGAATTGATGTCTGAATGCTGGTAACAAGCCTTACAGTTTTACTCTCAGGTGGAGCATCAGAGCATCTGCTTTTAATGTCTCAGGTGGAGCATCAAAGAGTCTGCTTTTAATGTCGCACCTGATATTTAAAACTTTATTGTTATTGTTTTTGAATGCTTTGTAATTTCGACCAGACACGGAGACAGAGGTGAAAGAGAAAGGAAAAGAGAAAAGGTGGGGAGAGAGGGGGTTAGGTGGGGGGGGGATTCAACAAAAATAAACAATAATGAACAAGAGTCTGCTTCTAGACCTGCAAAATGAGACGAGAAAAAAGCAAAACATAACAAAAAAATGGGACACAACACCAATATAACAAAATCAAGCTATCACTGCGTCAACTTGATGAAGAAATATATAATCAATCATTGTTTAACTAAACAGTCACACGATAATATACCACAGTGCATTGAGTGCCCACCATAGTCTTAAGACATGTGTTGAACGTGCCCAAGCCCATACTTATGAGAGCACCATGTGAGCACCTGTGTGTGTACACGCGCTTGTTTATGTAAGGTTTATCTATAGGAGCGTCCAATAGAGAGTGTGAGGGACCACAGATCTGCCCCCCAAAGACGCGTAGGAGACGGGGGGGAGCTCCAAGTCCCAGAGATCCAGGCGCTGCCCCAGAACACAGGAACCCCAAGGAGCCCGCAACCAGAAAGGCCCCCGCCCCCCTCGAGAGGCACAGAGGATCGCCCCGGGGGGCCACAACCAGCAGCCGGCAGAGCCCCGGGAGATATCAGCGGCAAGTCCTCAGGCCTGCCCGCAGCCTCCCACCCCCTAGCCGGCCGGGTCCGGGACCCAGCGACCCGGGACCCAGGGGCGACCACCCCCGCCGGGGACCCAGCAGAGCCCAGGGACCCAGACCCCCCCAGGCCGCCACCGGGATTGATCAGGCAGATGCCAAAAATCTTAAACTCCCTGACCCGGGAGCCACGAACACTCAGGCAGACCAAGGCAATTTTACGTTGTTTTACATGACACAAACCCTGTCCCTCACCCTAACACTAACCCTAACCAAAGAAAAAAAGTACTAATACTTACTACTTATCTATTTTCCTGCAAATATGACAGCTGAGTAGCATTCCCCTTTTGTGTTGTGCGCATGCGCGCACATGCTCAGTAACAACGGGTAGGACGGTTTACCGGGTAGGAGAAATTATCAGAACACCGGTACTTAAACAGATGTTTATCGCGGATATTAGTTTTTTCCATTTCGGAAGTTGTTTTAAGTGTTGCTATTTGTCTTAAACGTTCACAATGAGGATATATTAATCTTTTTGCAATATAACGATTGAAAGATGGTTTGTGGTAAAAACTGACTTTCTTTATGTTACAGCCTTGATACAAAAAAATAAAACGGTGTAAAATGGTGCCCTGTATTGAATGTAAAGTCAAACGTTGTATAAATGGAAATAAACAATTCTCCAGCGATTTGACCCCCCCCCCCCCCCCCCCTTTCTTTAGTCCACTTGACATGGAGCCACAGTTAACTAGTTTGAGGCCCATTTTTACTTGAAAAATAGTATTTAAACTGATCAAGCTTTGGCTTTACTGACACTGTGTAGGTTACTATACATTACTTTGCTCTATTTAAAAGTAACAAGATAAAAGCACTTCAGCACATAAAATTAAGATTGTCACTTGCCAAATAGTGACTATACCCTCCTGTTTACCTAGAAGAAGCGCCTCAAAATATCTTTAAATTCTTTATTGATTATTTAATTGTAGACAACAAAAATGGCATTTTACTTACCAAAAAGTGATTGAATCGCTCAGTTTTTCATGGAGGCTAAAATTGACCAAATAAGGGTTTTATGTATTATCTGTTGATGTTCTTGTACTCATACTGTCTACCGTATCATCATAAACACCCCAAAAATGGCAACAAAAAAAAAGATAATTTTTCTTGCCAAAAATTGATCACAGGGTCCTGGTCACCTATTAAGGGTTACATTGACCTAAATAATACTTTATTTGTTATCTCTTGATGTAATTAGTCCCATCACAGGATGCTGGGTCTCTTCCACAATCATAAACGCCCCAAAAATGGCAACAAATGATCACTTCCCTGGCCAAAAATTGTTTATGAATGTGGAACGCCTGGATCTAACCTTGTTTTGTTTGTTTTCTCACCTTTAGGCCCGTGAAGCCAACCACTCGGGTGATCGAATGGCAGCGGAGAGAAACAGCTGGACAGCTCGGACGCTGAACCACGTGGCTCTGGGACTTGGGCTTGGATCCTTGGTCCTATGCATTGTTTACGTGGTGCTTATTGTTTCTAAGTTGAAGAATTAGTCCTTTTCTAACAGCACAACTCACCATGAATCAGATGAGTGCAGTTCGGTTTGACAGTTCAGTATTTCCGCCAACTCTTCCTGTCTGCTTTATTGTGGTTCCTAGTGTGCTGACCCGTTCTAGAAACCAGACGTCAGTGACTGTCAGCCACTGACTGGCTAGGGGTGGAGTCTCCGGTTGCTCCGAAACATTTTGGGGTGTTTCTCAATGTCAAGGCGCCTAGCCTTGCGAGGCAATGTCTTGCAAGGCCAGGCACCTTGCTTACAAGGACACTGTCCTTCCTTGGTCAAAGAAAATGGTTAAATGGAACAGACTTGCATCATGTGACCGCGGCTTCCACGGCGGTCATGTAACGTCACGTGACACGGGAGACAACGTTATATTTTATATGTATTTGTCATGGTCTGCGTCAGCCCCTTCCCTTTTTGTGCCTCCTGGTGTCCTCCATCCCTCTCTAGATTTCCTCTTGTGTCCCTTTGTTCCCAAGCTCCTCTTGTGCTCCACTCCAGGTTTTCCCCCTTGTGCTCTCTTAGCGCCCTCATGTGTCCTTGTCTGCATCCCTGTTATGTGTCTTATGCTGTAGCTCTTTGGCGCCCTCATGTGTCCTTTTTCTGCGTGTCAGTTTAATGTCTTATGTTATCTTTTCTACTCTTTCCTCCCAGGTCAGCTCCAGCCTCGTTGTCCCCAGCTCAGTGTGTGTGGGTGTATGTGCTATGTCCTCCTCCAGCTATTGTGTGAGTTCTTCTCTCTGTCTTTAGGTAATTGCTGTTTGGTTCTGTGTTCAGGTATTTGCCCTCCTCTGTCTCTGTTTTCCCCATTGAGTTGATTAGTGTCACCTGCCTTCCCTCCAGCCCTCACTCCACACACCTGCTTCCTGTTTTCCTTAATTTGTCTCCCAGTCTATTTAAGCCCGGTATTGTCTCTGTCTTGTGTCGGTCCATTAACGTATCTGTATGTTAATCTGTCAGTGTTTGCTCGTGCTCTTGGTGAGCTTTGTTTTCTCCAACCTTGGAGTTTTTTGGACTTTGGCTCGCTGCCTGGATTTACTTTTGTTCCGCCTTCACAAATAAAGGATTTTTACTTTTCATCATCTCTGCCTCGTGTCATCCTGGGTAACTGCATATTTGGGTCCTAACATCCTCAGAACGTGACAGTATTAGTTTCAATTTAAATATATAATGAACTTTTACTTTTTAAATTGTGTATATGTTTAATAAATTAAATATGTAAGTGAGTTACTACCCGCTAGCCACCAAAGCTGCAACTACTAAGCAACTAACTAACAATAGATAATTCTCTGGATCTAAAAAAAAAAAACATTTAAAATTAGCCGACTTACTTTTAAACTTAAATTGTCCCCGAAGTAGCTGCCGGCTTCTGATCTGCCGTCTTTTTGAAAATACTGCAGTGTATTGTGGGTAATTTTTGACCAAGGCTAGGCTACAAGACACCTCCCGTGTATCCTTACTCAGCTAGCTAAATGGCTAACAAACGGGGAACACATGCCTCGGTAGAACATGAACATTGGAACCGATTGGAACACGTCTTGGCGGCTCCCGATGACGTTTCTCCTAGGCAACTGGGGCGGGGCCAAACCATCAAGGCAAGGTTCCTTGGCATTGAGAAACACCCTCTGGCTGCTGCCTGGAGTCATTTCCTGGTTTTAGAGTCTGACAAAAAGGCAGACTGAGCAGAATGTTCAAGACCACTTCCATTATTGTGCTGTGTTGTGTTTTTGTATAGCACACAGATCAGCTCACACTGTTTACTGATCACCTATTTTTGTCTCAAGTAAAGACCACCCCCCTCTTTCCCCATGCACTATGAGGAGCACACCGACTTTTTGTCATGGAGTTGTCAGAGAAAGCTAGCCACACTGAGGTGAGCTGTGGTAACCCACGCCGTCCCGAGCTGAGTAGTGCTGTTGAAAAAGCAGCTCAGCTTTTTTTATGTCACTCTGTGTATTCATTCTACTTCAGATGAACAGGTTTGGACTGACTGTCAGGTTTTAACCCTGAAGTCATGTGACTGGAAAAACAGAAGTTACAGAAATGCAGGTGAAAATAGAAATGTTTTAATATTGTGGAAAATTTCATTTATTTCATTAATTCAACTTAAAAAGTGAAACTACCACGTGAGATGGACTCCTTACAGCCAGATATTTCAAGCCTTTCTTTCTTATAACTTCGATGATTGTGGCTTACAGCCACGGCCGGATTAACCATATGGGCAACTGGGCAATTGCCCAGGGCCCACGAACTCTAAGGGGCCCAGGGCAGCAAGCGCACGAGCAAAATACTGTAGGCATGTCTGTAATCTCCCGCATTATATTAAACTAGGGTGACCGTATGTCCGGTTTTCCCCGGACATGTCCACTTTTCACTCTCTGTCCGGGCGTCCGGACTGGGGGGTCCGCGGTCGTATTGATGAAAATGTCCGGCTTTTCATCCAGGAGCAGGGATCGAATTATGGGGGAGCTGTATATCTTACACATCCAGGGGAGCCGGAAACAAGTTTTCTATCTATATTACATAATTTATGGACTCTTCTGAGCAGAGAGCACAGAGAGCGGCACAGCGCGTTCTTGCGCAGCGCTCCGGGCAGCTACTTCCAGCGCACGGTCCATTCTCAAAGTGGCGCAACCAAAAAACTATAATTAGCACACGATCGTTCATGTCCGCACATATTCTCTATTTTCTGTCTTATTTGTGCCTGCAGCGCTCTGCTGCTGCGCAGCTCATCACCTGTGCTGCGTGGTGCTGCGGTGATTTCACCTCACTGACGCAGCATCGAAAGGCGCACTCCGCTTTGCGGTCAGGAGATCCATTTGATCTGCTCAAAAGTAAGAATCCTGGCAGCAGTTTTTTCTGGAGAGTTTAGAGGAGACGCAGGAAGAAGAGAGACAGACAGGACAGGAAAATAGTTAAATAAAAACAAGAAAACAAAACTAAGTGTGGAAAAGTAAAATGTAGGTAGATTTATCTCCACTACACGTTTTTACCTGTATAAAAAAATAAGTTATACACATGTCATATTTACACATCTGATACAGTTCAGATCGCCTTCAAAACTCAGTCACACACCCAGGGCTGTTTCAAGACATTTTGGGGGCCAAGGCAAAATGACCCCCCCCCCCCCCACCCCATAACTGGGCTCCCCAGAAGCCTCTGTGTAATTGTTACCCTCTCCAGTAGTGTTAGTTAAACAGTGTTTATAAAAGCTCCTCAGACATTACTGACATGTTCAAATGTTATCAGATGAAAAACTAAATTATCAGACATGCTGCCTCATCTGCTTCTTTTCTAAACTTGCAAAAAGTAACAAAACCATTTGAAAGCCACTATTTGTGGATTCTCTGAAAGTTTCCATGGAGTGTGTGACAACTTATTTTTTCATTTATCCTATCGTCTAATCTCCCAGCTGAAACAAGCACCCTTAATAATCTGTGCACAGGAAGCTTACCGATGCTGTAGTAAAATAAAAGGTATAATAATTTATTATTAATAAAACCTTGTTGCAGCACTAAAGCAGTAAAATGAGATTTTGCAATACATATGCTAAATATTTACATATGAATTGTTTTAGAGCCCTTTTATTGGCAGAATCTGATATTAATTTAGTTCTTACAAAAAAATGGGTCCCAGCGTGGTTTGTGTGGCGTTGCCATAGTGTGACGTCATAGGCACAGATCCCCTGTCCTCTTGTTTGGAAATGGAAATATGATCACCCGGTACTAAACAAACTGTCCACCCGGGCTTTTGCGCTGCACAGAGACGCTTCGCTGCCTATGACTTTGAACGTCAGTTGAGAGTCAGTCTCATGCAGACTGACCAATGAAGAGAGGGCCTCAAGTTAAGACCCTCTCCTCATTGGTCAGTCCACACAAGGTGGGTCAAAGGTTACCCTGAGCGGGTTACGTGATGTCAGGCATTCAAGTATTGAGTATATTTACTGCATATTACAGTAAAATATTCTGTATGTGACCATATTATGGTGATCCTTGGGTCGTGATGATGGGGCCCTTGAATATTGTTGCCCAGGGTACAACGAAGTCTTAATCTGGCCCTGCTTACAGCTGATGAAAACCCCACATTCAAAATCTCAGACAATTAGAATATTGTGAAAAGGTTCAATATTCTAGACTTAAGGTGTCACTCTAATCAGCTAATTAAAGCTACATTGGCAAATCTGCAAAACAAGCTAGCTTTAACCATTTTCGTGCTTCTTAATGTAGGATAGCTATAAGTAATTAGTGAATTAAAAAAAATAAAGTGATTCTTTCTCATTCATCTAAAATCCTCAGCCAATAACACGGCTCGGTCTGAAACCAACAATTGGACCACCTGGCTGTGTCTCACCGAACCACTGCACTCCCACTCTGTCCTGGGTCCTCACACATTTAGCAACAGAGAGAACACCACTGGTGTGAGACATTCTCCACTCAATAAAATCAGAGAAGGATAAACAGCAGGCTGCTACCATTACAACTTTAGGACAACCTCCCAAAGTCCCAAAAAGAAAAACACTTTTTGAAGTCCAGACAACAAAAACGTATGGCGACTGGTGTTTAGCGCTCAATCGTTTACTCAGTTCGTAGTCCAATGTTAGGGGGCTGAGGCCTACGGATTTTAGTCGATGGGAGGGGTGAGACTTCTGTGACTGTGCTTAAAAACTAGCTTGTTTTGCAGAATCTGTAAAGCAGCTTTAATCCAAAACACCTGCAAAGGGTTCCTGAGCCTTTAAATGGTTTCTCGGTCTAAACTGAAATAAATGGACTTCAGCATGATATTGTAATATTTTGAGTTTCACTTGTATAAACAGAAAATGACTGTTTGATGTTTTAAGCCGAGCGCGCGCCCTGAGCAGAAATGGCCTGTATTTGATATAGCGCCTTCTAGAGTCCTGGAACCCCCCAAGGCGCTTTACAACACAATCAGTCATTCACCCATTCACACACACATTCACACACTGGTGGGGATGAGCTACGATGTAGCCACAGCTGCCCTGGGGCGCACTGACAGAGGCGAGGCTGCCGAGCACTGGCGCCACCGGTCCCTCCGACCACCACCAGCAGGCAACGTGGGTTAAGTGTCTTGCCCAAGGACACAACGACAGCGACAGACTGAGCGGGGCTTGAACCTGCGACCTTTTGATTGCGAGGCGAGCACTTAACTCCTGTGCCACCGTCGCCCCAAAGCTGGGGAAAAGAAAGCTGGTTTGCATCGGCTGATTTAATCTTAAATCACACCAAAGCCATTTTTGTTCATGCAGCTTCTCACCAGGGACCAGAAACCACAGCGGCTCAGACTCAACCTTGATGGCTGGTTTATTCAACATTTTTCTGACTGTTTAGCTGGGTTTTATTCTTTTTTGTTTTCTTCTTCTTCTTTTTTTAATAGCTCAAGACTTCTTTACTAGAAAATGACTTTACAAATAATGTACACTTTAAAAAAAGTGCGCTGTGTCTTTTTTTTCTAAGGATAAGTATTTGTATTCCAAGATGTAATCTTGAGCCTTTTATTTAGCATTTCTGCTTTTCATCTTTGATCTTGCCTAATGTTGAGTTTTTACGTTTTTCTGCTCTTTGCTTTTAACCTTAAAAGGAAAAGCTGAAGTTGATGTCGTAATTACCGGATCCTGTGAATTACACAGTCTGAAGATTGGAATAGAATTTTCTTTAGTCTTATTGCGTTTGTTTCTCAAACTATGACGCGTCAGACTCTAGAGAGAACTGCAGGATGTGAGTAATGTCTTAAAGACGTCAGCTGTGTCGTGGTGTAAAGAAAAGCCCGCTGGGAGCATGTTGCTCTCCCAGATCCACTTTTCTTAATTTACTCATTCTTCTCTTCTCATCCCACGCTTGTTCACTCTCACTTTATTTCAGGTTCCTGAGGTGCTCTCTTGTGTGTTTCCGTCTCGTACTTTTCACATTTGTGCAATAATAAAAGTTTTACTCCAGCATCTTGTGCATTCTTTTGTTTTTTTTTATTTTCAGCCAGAATCAGCAGCTTGCTTTTGGCTTTACTGCTATTTTTTTTTTTTTGGCCACATTTGTCGGGGAGTTTGTTTTGCACTCAGTCAGAACGGCCAGCAGACTGTGCAGATGTGTTTATTTAAAGTAATTGTCTTCATTACCAGGAAACATTTCTGGTCCACCAGAAGGCTAACACACTCCAATAGAAGGGAAAGTAAAAATGTAAAAGCTGTACCCGTTCACAAATTCATATCAAACCATTTCTGACCCTAGAGTGACGATGTGTACCTTTTAAAATTAATCTCTGGAAATATCCATCCAAATATTGTTGAAAATATATATATTAAATGATACCCAGTTTTTGAAAATTATTGGCAGCTTTGTAACATAACCATAAAAACAGGGCCTAAAATACATGGGAGTGGGTCTAAGTCTCTGGGCGATGCCATACTAAATGCAAAATTTCTTCTTATGTGAGCCCAGGAGGACAAAAAGCATTTGCTGATTTGTAACAAGTGGTTACAAAACATTTGCCATTCATAAACGTTGTTTTACATAATTGTACAACCCATCTAGTCTGTTGATGGCAGGAAGCTGGAGTGTCAATTTTGCGTCTGAGGCTGTGCGGTGGCTCATAAAAGAACCGTCGTGTCTGAACTCACAAGCGTTGCAGAGAGACTGACCTTAGGGTCAGAAGAGAGGAGGGTTCCAAATGCTTTCTCACCGGTCGGCCGAACCAGGATGCAGCGGGAGAACGAACCAGATCAAGAAACGATTCCTGTATTTATCAACTTTTGTTTATAAATTTGGCAAATCAGAATTTGACACGTTTAAGAGGCGTTAATGAAATACCTCAGAAATCACGCCTTCACTCAGATACTGACAGAGGTTAACTCTTAGTGTGAAGTTATGTTATTTACACATTTATGTGAAGTGAATGTTAAAACCTTAATATTAATCTTATGACGTATGAGTATACTGATAGATTAACGTGTTAAATCAACAAACACTGATCTGGTGTAGTTTAAGATCTGAAATAAATCATTGCAGCAAAATATTCATTTTAACACATCATTAATTAACGCACAGATTATTCAAGCACTTTGGGATTTAAACATATTGTTCATTCAACACATTTGATTATATCAGCCTATAAAGTTGTAAAGTCATTTATGATTCAAGGACGATGAACTTTATTCAGAGTGAGTGCAAAAAGTCTCGTTTTCTTCATGACTTTTGTTCCAGCCAAGATAAGGAAAGCACTTATTATGGCTAACTTATTTGGTTGCACGGTCGTAGGTCCTTTCTTGTTTGGAGGCCAGACAGATGTAATGAGTCCCTGGATGTGTGACGCAGTTTGTGTCTGCAAATTAAAAGTTCATTTCTGGTCATTTATTATGTGAATACTTAAACTCTGGGTATGTTACACAGTCACCAAAAGGGACATTCCTGTGGCCAAGTAGCCAGGGCGTGCGATCAATTGGGATACAGTGACAGGATGCTCACACCATCACACTTATTTTACTTCCAAAGGACAAATTAAGCTAATAAACTTCTCAAAAATGTTAAACGTTACTTTGAATGATTTAAAACTACTCTAAAATGCTTTTCCTCAGTAAAAGTTACTTTTACCCGCTTATTAGTTACTAATTAACCCCAGTCACACTGTTTACAGTGTGTAGACTACGCTATTAGGCTCCCTATCCAGCTTCCTACTGGGCTGGCTCAGAAACGATTATGCAAGCAACAGAGTGAAATTCAAGAAGTAGTGCATAACTAATGGCTTGCAAGGTGAGGTTTTGTTTGCTCTATCAGTTTATTTGAACATTTAAAGAAGATTTTAAAAGCTATGCCCCATGTTTGCGGCTAGGGAACATGTCCACAGTTGTACTAACAAACTGAGAAAACTAAATTTGTTGCTACAAGAGCGACGTTTGGGTCATGCACCTGAGACTAAAAGTGTGGCTGCAGTTGTCGGTACTGCAAACTTTACTCTAAACTCGGGCTTTGTGATGAGAGATTTTAAGGTTTAACTTGGCTCTGT